TGCTAGAAGGCTGCCAAAACTTAATGTTGAAAGATTATTTCCAAGGTCATCTCTTCAGTCTCTTTTCCTTCTTCCTCATTCATGCTTTCCTCCTAAATCATAACCTTTTCGTTCTTCTCTTAATGTGCGGAACACTGGAGAGGGCTAAATTCAGAGTTAGGGCAGAGCTATGTCAAGAGTGATCCCTGCCTCCAAGGAGCTGAAAATGAAGGTGAGGGGGAAAGTACAGAAAGCACCTTCTCGTGACCATCAGAGCCACTAGAGGTCTGGGAATTCAGAGGAGATAAGATCTGTCCCAGGAAATCACCTTGAGGAGAGATGGGATTTAGCAGACAAAAATGGGGAAAGGAATGTTAAGTGGGTGCGGTGGGTATCTGTTGTTTTGGACTCTCCAGAAGCCTCTATGCTGTCTTCTGAGAGCAGCACCTTAGTTTTCCAGTGAGAAACTACCTAAACCCGGTCTTGGTGGAATTGACAGGCCGCCACTGTGCCCAATTCAGGTCAATGTGCACATATTCAGAGAATGTTTGCTGGGATTCAAATTTTGGGCAGACTGAACCAAGAAGAGAGCATGGCACTGCTGCTCAAGACTCTCCTTTTGCAAGGACTGTCAGTGAGTTCCTGCTTCCTTAGTATCCCCAGCCACCCTAGCAACTGTCCTTTCTGAATCTGGGGGCTCATTTTTAAAATTGACTCTATGAGCCACTCCATTTTATTCTAATAAGATTCCCCCTCTAATTCTAACAACTATCTTTCTAATAAATTCCATTTTTTGGCTTAGGTTAGCCAGAATCAATTCAACCAAAGAACCCTAAATGGTAGCTTAAAACAAAAAGTTAGCAGGAATAAGCGAGAGAGAGAGAGGGTGGAGGTGGTGTTTGGCTGATAATGAATAGTCTGTCTGGTTAGCATGTAGCATGCACACTGGAAAGGTAGTAGTTGGAAATAAAGTTAAAAAGGTTGTTGGATCTGGAATGTGGAGGACCTTCACTGCTGGGCTCAAGTGATGCAATCAAAGCCACATTTTAGTAAGATTAAGTGGTAGAGAGGAGCAGGTATGAAGACAGGGAAAGCAGGGTGGTTGGCAGCATAACTTCTTTTGTAAATGTTTTTACTGTCCTACATTGTTTATTCAATTAACCATCATTTTTCAAGAACTGATCATATGGGGTGCCTGGGAGGCTCAGTGGTTGAGTGTCTGCCTTTGGCTCAGGTCGTGATCCTGGAATTTGGGGATCAAGTCCGGCATCCTGCTCCCCGCAAGGAGCCTGCTTCTCCCTCTGCCTATGTCTCTGCCTCTCTGTATCTCTCCGTCTGTGTGTGTGTCTCCCATGAAAAAAATAAATAAAATCTAAAAAAAAAAGAACCAATCATATGACAGTCTCAGTGCTAGATTTTAGGACTATAAAGATAATTTAGACATGATTAAAACCCCCAACCTAGAAGATGAATCAGACCTGTATATGTAAGAGATAAATTATCGAAATTAGATAGGAGTTGTTGGTGTTTTCTGTAAGAAAGAGTGCTAACTCTCTTGTTGGATTAGGAAAGGCTTCGGAGAGGTGATGATTTCTGAAGCAAGTTTTGCATAGCAGTTTGCCAGGCAGTCACAGTGGAGTTGGGCATAGGCATTGGGATTAAAGGGCTTGGGTCCTGGAAATATATCAGGATTAGAGATAAAGACTTGGGATCATAAATGTATAATATGACAGCTTAAAAATGGGAGTGGATGAAATTGTCCAGGGACATAGATCATAGTCTGAACTCCCAGGAATACCGACAGGTTGGAGGATAAATGGAAGCAAAGGATGCTGGCAGAGGACCCTGAGTCAGAAGTGAGTGTGTGAGAGGATCAGAAAATCAGAGTCTCCTGGAAGCCAGGGGCGGAAAAAGTGATAGGATGGGAGGAACAGAATGTCAGATGCTACAAGATTAATTGAAGGTAGGACCAGAGAATGTCCATTGGTTTGGGCAAAGGAAAAGTCATCAGATTTAGAGTCATTTCAGTGGGCTGACGGAAGTGAGAGTGAGATTATTGGGAGGAAATGGGGAGATGAGGAAGGAAAACATAACTGTGGATAGAAGAGAGAGAAATTGGTAACAAAGGCTAATACAGGACAAGGAAGGCTTCTTCCTCTGTTTTGTTTTGTTTATGAGAAAAACTGGTGCTTATTAGTCTTGGAGGTCCAGCATGGACTTTCCTAACAACTGAACACCTTATAGGAAACAGACGTTCTTTCCACTGTGTAAATGCATAATCTCACTCTTGGTCCAAGATGGGCTTGTCTTATTTCGTATTCTGTTCTGTCTTAAAACCGTGTGCTCTGCTATAACGTGTGGAGTTGTTGGACAGATTGATGTGTACCAGGAGCAAATAAATTAGGGGTTCAGTATTGTCTAGCCTTCTGAAGAGCTAGTCATCTACTGAATATTATGCTCATTTCAAGCTTCATGACTAATCTAGTTTGTTGTATTAGTTGATCATCATTAGGTTCACAGAAACCTAACTTTAAAGATAGTTATTTACTTATTTATTTATTTATTTATTTATTTATTTATGAATGAGAGATTGTGCATGCAGTGGGGAGGGGTAAAGGGAGAGGGAGAGAGAGTCTTAATCAGACTCCACATTGAGCACAGGGCTCAATGTCGGGCTTGATCTTAAGACCCTGAGATCATGACTCAAGCCAAAAACCAAGAGTCAGATACTTAACTGACCGTGCCACCAAGGCACCCCAAAACCTAACTTTAAATAAAGAAATCTGTTAGTTCAAGAAAACAAATCATGATAAAGTCAAGCAAAACCTGTTTCAGAGTTATCTGGAATGAGAAACTAAATCTATCTACCTACCTACCTATCCCTCAGCTTTGTTTCTTTCTCAATATAGACTTCATTCTTAACCACTATAAGATGGCTCTCCTTATAGCTAGAACAATGGATGCCAACAGCTTCTAGACTGACGTCTTCATAGCTCTACCAAGAGAGAGGAAAAGACTTTGCTGTTGCTCTAGGATTTTGATTGGTCTACCTGAGTTATATGCCTATTCCACTTCTACCCACCAGACCAATGTGGCAAGAGGTATTGAGCTACTGGGATTGATTCAGCCTGGGAGAAGCCCGTGCTTTGCTAAGTCACTATGACCAAAGGAACAGGTCATAAAAAGAGATTGCATCTCTCATCTACCTCCTTGGTGGAGAGGAGAGCCTCAAAAAAATTGGGTTATTGCCTGAGAAAAGAAGGATGCTAGACACAAAACCATAAATGGTCAATATGTTTGCTTAGCACAAAACTTACGTGTAGTCTCTGAATAAATGGACTGATTGTTTTGGAATGGGAGTGAGAAGTTTTCTGAAAAAAACTGGAAAAACCTGCTGGAACATGTCTCTCCCAGGAAAGGTAACTACAATTGGGTTATAACTTAATAGTGGTAGAACTTGAATAAACTACATACAGAGACTTAGCACTTCATAATTTTATTTATTTATTTTAATTATTTTATTGGAGTTCAAGTTGCCAACATATAGCATACCACCCAGTGCTCATCCTGCCAAGAGCACTGTATAATTTTAAAAGTAATTTTACTTGCATCAGCTTTTTGAGCTAGAAAGAGTTAGACATTTTAAATGTCCATTTTAGGAAGTACCAACTGAGTCTCAGAAAAAAAGTTTCTAATTCAAGATCCCATAACCAGCAAGTAAGTAGTGACTTTGGGTTTAGAATCAATAGTCCTGACTTCAATATTTCTTCCATTACACCCAATTCTTTTTTTTTTTTTTTAAGATTTTATGTATTTGTTTGAAAGAGACAAAGATAGCAGCAGAGAGTGGAAGTGGGGAGGAGAGGGCGAAGCAGTCTCCTGCCAAGCAGGGAGCCTGACGTGGGGCTGATCCTAAGACCCTCGGATCATGACCTGAACATAAGGCAGACATTTAACTGACTGAGCCACCCAGGTGACCCTCATTACACCCAATTCTTTTTTATTATTATTATCCTAAATTCTTAATCAAACTACAGTCTTTTAAAGGATCGTAAGATCATGCCCATTTTCAGGAATTGTTGTGGTATGTGACTTTTTTCCCCAAGTTTTTATTTAAATTCCAGTTAGTTAATATACAATGTACTATTAGTATTGTGTGTAGAATTTAGTGATTCATCACGTACATTCAGCACCCAGTGCTCATCTCTGCAAGTACACTCCTTAACCCATCACACATTTAACCCATGTGACTTTTAAATTGTATTCATAAGGGACGCCTGGGTGGCTCAGTGGTTGAGCATCTGCCTTTGGCTCAGGGAGTGATCCTGGGATCCAGAATCAAGTCCCACATAGGGCTCCTTTCAGGGAGCCTGCTTCTTCCTCTGCCTGTGTCTCTCATGAATAAATAAATAAAACCTTTTTAAAAAAATTGTATTCATAAGTCATTTATTCCCAGTTTATTAAAGTCATGACTCTGAACACTTCTCATGCAAGCACTGAATCTGCTGCAGTTGATACAGTTTCTCCTAAAGACAAACTAATTTTTTGTTTTCTCTTGGAAATATTATGGCATCTTTTCATAATTAGGTACTCCGTAGGATTATATATATATAAATATATATATATGTATTTAATTTTTATTTATTTATGATAGTATGATAGTCACAGAGAGAGAGAGAGGCAGAGACACAGGCAGAGGGAGAAGCAGGCTCCATGCACTGGAAGCCCGATGTGGGACTCGATCCCGGGTCTCCAGGATCGCGCCCTGGGCCAAAGGCAGGGGCCAAAGGCAGGCGCCAAACCGCTGTGCCACCCAGGGATCCCCCGTAGGATTATATATTATATATCTCCACATCAGTGGGATAAAGTGGTTCCTAACCCACCAAAGAATGATCCAGTCATTTGCCTGATGTGGTAATTCTCTACTCTGACCAGAAAGGAAAAGGTATATAAAAATAGAAGTTTTCATTTAAATTTACTTGTATTCTTAGCAATTCCTTGCTATTGATTTTTTGTTCCAGATGAGAAGAAGCAAATGGTTGCAAATGTGGAGAAACAGCTTGAAGAAGCAAGAGAACTGGTAAGTACAGACTTGGTCATGTGTTTTAACTTACAACCAGAGCCATTTCTGCTGATACCTTCCTCTAGCCTGTTTTATATTATGCAGAACTGTGAAACATTTCTGATTAGCATTTTATAATTTGGACTTCACCAGTTAAATTGAAGAGAATTAATAGTTTCTTGGGATTTTATTCTTCTTAATAAAGGTGATTCATTAAAGGTCTACTTTTAATTTTTATTCCTTTGTAATACTTTTCATAGTAGCTGGAAATAGCTCACACTTGTTAAAAGCATACTGAGTACCAAACATTGGGTTAAGCATACTACTTGCTTTATAATATTTAATTTTCACACAAGGCCTGTGAGACAAATGCTATTCATCAGAAAGTGTTAAGGATCTGAGATGTTCCCCTACTTGCTTTGTAACAGGTGTGCTTGCCACAGTTTCATTGATGTTGGCGAAAGATAGGAGATTTCTAGATCAGAGACAAAAGAATTCTATGACAACAGAAGGTGCTACCCAAGGTTCCTGAGCCCCAATTCCCACAGGGTGATGCAGGTTCACCGGGAAGACTGCCTAACACAGCAGAATACCTGCTAGGGATGGAACCTGGAGCCTGGGAAATGCCCTGAGCTTCGTAGCAGCCTGTGAGCAAGCTTGCTGTTTGTCCCAGACAGGATTTCCTCCCCCAGGGTTGCTCTGTGTGAATACAACCCTGAGAAATGGCTTGAGAAAGGAGCTGTCAGGGCCTTGCATTCTTGGCACATCCAGCAAGACATGCGGGAGCGTGAGAGACCCACGGAGGAGGGATTCTCAGTGCTCTTATTGCCCCCATTTTGTAGATGGGGAAACCGAGGCCTAGAAAGATTAAGTAACTTTGAAGTCCCACACCAGCAAATGGCAGATTGCGGGCTTGTATTTAAATATGGTAAACTCAGAGCTCTAGCTCATCCACGACTTTTTGGAATTTCTTTTTTTTTTTTAATTTTTTTTTTAAATTTTTATTTATTTATGATAGTCAGAGAGAGAGAGAGGCAGAGACATAGGCAGAGGGAGAAGCAGGCTCCATGCACCGGGAGCCTGACGTGGGACTCGATCCCGGGTCTCCAGGATCGCACCCTGGGCCAAAGGCAGGCGCTAAACCGCTGCGCCACCCAGGGATCCCAACTTTTTGATATAAATAGACTTGCAAATCAAGGAACAAAGAGTATTAAAAGGTTTTATGTCCCACTGCTTTTTTTTATATATAAATTTATTTTTTATTGGTGTTCAATTTGTCAACATATAGAATAACATCCAGTGCTTATCCCATCAAGTGCCCCCTTCAGTGCCTGTCACCCAGTCACCCCCATCCCCTGCCCACCTCCCTTTCTACCACCCCTAGTTCGTTTCCCAGAATTAGGAGTCTCTCATGTTCTGTCCACTATTCGGTTTTAAAGCCAAGTATTACAAGTACAACTCTGCTTGTTACTGCATCATGGTCCTGAGTAAGAATGTTGCTTTCCTAAATACTGAAGGGCACTGCATGGTGTTCCTTTGGTATGTACTTACTCATGTACTAGAACAGTTCCCTGAGTGTGTTTCTTGTGACTGCTGTTACTAGTTCAAGTAAGTTTGGGAAACTGACTAGCTTAAATAGAATTGGAGGTTGGCATATTTTTTCAGTTGTTGTTTGGCTACAGAATCTTCTTGGCCCCTTAAAGAGGCTGAGAGGCATTATGAATCTCTAAGAAGGAGATTCATAGGAGGTATATAAAGTGTGGAGCATTTCCAAGCTTATTTGACTGATGACTTTTGTTAACAGGGTCATACACAGGGAGCTGCCACTTTAGGGGGTCTGAAGAAATAGGTGGCTGTCATTCCCCATAGCACAGCAGACCTTCACTCTGTGACTCTGAGGGCCAAGGTAGCAAGCTGCTGCCACTGCTCTGTCTTTGTCACTGGCTCTTTTCTAGCTGTCAAAATGTCGCATGACCTCTATGCCCCCAAGATCAACATCTCATCTGCAGTGCTGTTGCCCTGGCAGCTTTGCTTCCAACTCCTCTGCTTCAAATGTTTGCCTCTCTTTTGAAAGTTTCTCCCTTTTAGCAAATGCTTTTCCCCTTACTTTCTTTTCTTTCTATATTCAACTATTTCTCTCATGCTTCCTGGCCTTGACGTAAAAAGACTGACCTCTAGGGATCCCTGGGTGGCGCAGCGGTTTAGCGCCTGCCTTTGGCCCAGGGCGTGATCCTGGAGACCCCGGATCGAATCCCACGTCGGGCTCCCGGTGCATGGAACCTGCTTCTCCCTCTGCCTGTGTCTCTGCCTCTCTCTCTCTCTCTCTCTCTCTCTCTCTGTGTGTGTGTGTGACTATCATAAATAAATAAAAATTTAAAAAAATATATTAAAAAAAAAAAAACAAAAAGACTGTCCTCTAGACACCAGCGCTGCCGGTCAGGACACTTCTTCCTTCTGGCTGGCAAGATGACCATAAATAGTACAGTACAGTTGTTTGGATCTTGAGTTGACCTCTTATATTGTTGCTGAGTTCCCAGGAGCAGTTCTTTTGCCTCAGAATCTGGTTTTGGGGCAGCCTGGGTGACTCAGCACTTTAGCACCTGCCTTCGGCCCGGGGCATGATCCTGGAGTCCCGGGATCAAGTCCCACGTCGGGCTCCCTGCATGGAGCCTGCTTCTCCCTCTGCCTGTGTCTCCGCCTCTCTCTCTGTCTCTGTCTCTCAAGAATAAATAAATAAAATCTTAAAAAAAAAAAAAAGAATCTGTGTTTTGGCTTGTTGAGCCATCAGTGTACTCAATGATGTTAGAAAGCTGATTTCCTAATAACCAAGATTTTACTATACCAAGAAATGTAAAACATATTTAGACCCTCATGGAGCTTGAAGTCATCCCCAGTCATGACCAACACCAAAGTTCTAAGATATGTGTTTCTACTCCTTTAAAATGATAAGACAGCTGATTTACTTAATTTCGATGACATCCTTGTTAAGGACACTGTTTATTGCATTACATCTTCTCCTTTGGATGAGGATCGTGGCAGAAAAACTTCTTTTTTATTTCACTTATTAGGATTACTTGTATTTCTGCCAAACAACTGCTTTGTATTAATCTCTCGGACACTGTTTGTCTTGTGATTACCATGTCTCCCGCTTCATGTTGGCTGTCTGAATGTTGTAACAACACAAAACATGTTCATGTTAGCCATATTTCTGTTTTCATTGAAATTGCTTATAGTGTGTTTCCTTTTTTTCTTTCTTATCTGCTTTTAATTTTGTTTTCAGTGTGTTTATAAAGTGCTATAAGCAGAAGTGTAGTTAACTCTCAGATTTTCACTTATATGTACTTAGGTAGTTACTTGGATGATCCTGCTCATCTCATTAGAACTAGGTACTTAATGATGATTTCAGAGATTTTTTTTTTAATTTTTAAAACTTTTTTTTGTTAGAGTGCACAAACAGGGGGAGGGACAGAGGCAGAGGGAAAAGTAGACTTCCCACGGAGCAGGGAGCCCAACACGGGGCTCAATCACTGGACCCCGTGATCATGACCAGAGCCGAAGTTAGATGCCCAATTGACTGAGCCACCCAGACACCTCCAGAGAAGTATTTTAAAAATTACCTTTCTGAGTAACTGTTTAATTTATTGGTGCTTCACATTTTTGTTGAGACATGGTAATCATATAAAATAGTCACTGTTTAAATCAAGGCTAATTCAATCTCTTTCTCTCTCTCTCTCTCTCTGTCTTTTTCTCTCTCTCTCTTTAATAAAAATTAAGGCCTGTGAATTGAAACATGGTTTATCTGAGAGCTACTATTGTTATTCAGTCTCTAACTCTGGACAAGTAAGAGTTTTATTAGTTAGTCATGCAAGTAATTCATTAGAATGCTTTATAAGGTAAAATATATAGCAGCATTTTTGGATGTGAGTTTATTTGACATGGCCTGAGCCAAATTGCTGTTGGTGGCGGTTTTTATTTTTCAATGCCAGTTATAAATAAGCTGCCTCTAATACCTTGTGTCTGTACTTGGTGTATTTCTTCAGCATCATCAGTAATCATCTCTACTATTATTAACATTCATCCAGTGATTACCAAGCAAGAGACACTGTTGTAAGCACATTAGAGGAATTAGAACATATAATCTTTACAGCTGTCCTACAAAAGACATACTATTTTTAGAAATGAGAAAAGTAAGGCCCAGAGGCGTTAATAAACCTGTCTGAGGCTGCACAACGAGTACATAGTGGAGCCTATCATGTGGATGCAGGCGTCTGACTCGAAAGCCTATGTTCTTTTTTTTTTTTTTTTTCTTAATTATGTTAGTCACAGAGAGAGAGAGAGAGAGAGAGGCAGAGACACAGGCAGAGGGAGAAGCAGGCTCCATGCACCGGGAGCCCGACGTGGGATTCGATCCCGGGTCTCCAGGATCATGCCCTGGGCCAAAGGCAGGCACCAAACCACCGCGCCACCCAGGGATCCCGAAAGCCTATGTTCTTAACCATCACACTATTTCTGTATTGCCTCTTATTAAATGTGCATGTGTTCTATCCAACGTGTTATTAATTCCAGATTATTGAAAAGTATGCTGCTATGATTTCAGTGAGCTTTGTGTAATTTAGCAGATTACTGTTTCCATTTAATGCCATGTCAACATGGTTATAAAGTTAGGAGTTAGGCTGGAGGTTGAGATCACATATTGGTTGGCATGTGATTTCCTAATCAGAAAAGAATTTCCAGAAGAATTTTTACCAAATAACTAAGGCTGGGCTGACATTTTATAGATTAAGAGTAGAAATAAATGATTTGGGTTTTTTTATGTTCCTTTAGTCCTGGTGGCTTGGGGCCAGAAGACCAAACCAGGTGGGGTTGGATTGAAGGATAGGACACACTAAAGGTATTAAAGTTGTTATATTTGAGAATGTTTGAATTGATACATATTTAAAACAACAACAACAACAACCATTCCTGACAACATGCTTTTACACTCTGCATGTCACTAGCAAGCACTCAGGAACTCTTTGTTTGTTGACCTAAGCAAAAGTGAAGCACAGAAGCAGCCCCAATATTACTTGATCATGGGCAGCTAGCTCTCTCTGCCTGGCCCCTCAGGTATAAAACGAGAAGTTGGGATTAAATCCTTTCAGCTCTAAATGTCTGGCCAAATGAAGTATAAACATATGATTGAAGTCACATTTTCCTCTTACGCTGCCAGCTTGAACAGATGGATCTGGAAGTCCGAGAGATACCACCTCAAAGTCGAGGAATGTACAGCAACAGGATGCGAAGCTACAAGCAAGAAATGGGCAAACTTGAAACAGATTTTGTGAGTCATCTTTCACCCTTTGATATTTACCAGTCTCTCAACTGAGTTTTCACCTGTGTTTTCTATTGTTTCCTTCACATGCCTCAGTTAGCCTGACATACATGATCTCTAGGAGCGGGTGTAAGAGATAGGCCTGGCTTTTGTTGTTTATGGCTCGGAGTGTGGGGGTGGGGGCTAAAAATACTTGAAGAGCTAGCTAATGATGGAATATGAAGTATGTTGGATTCATGACTCACAGATCCAAAGCATGTTGTCCTCTGAGTTTAAATAGTATTTGTTGATACTTAACAATTATTAGAATTTTGAAACTCAATTTTGGGCCTTTCTTAGTTGGCAGCCTTTCTGATGCAGTGTTCATAGATGGACTTCAGGAGCCCATGAATGTCCTGAAATTATATAGGCATTTCTGGATGTCCATTTCTATGTGCACTTTTTTCCTGGGCTAGACACTATGGACTCTATTACAGTCTTTAAAGGATACGTTACACTCCTCCCACCAAAAGGACAAAAGGGATTCAATTAATAGTTTATACAAGTGGTCCTTTATACCAGTTGCCCCATGAGAATATTTAGCTTTCTCTTCCTATATGTCTGACTTTCAACTCTACCTACTTCATAGCAAATCTAAGTATATAGATTTAAACATATAATGTTGAAATTGTTAGTAATTAACAAGTAGTAGGTGTATAAAAGATACAGCTGAGCAATTCCACTTCTGGGTGTATATCCCAAAGAATTGAAAGCAGAGTTTTTATATTTGCACACCCATGTTCATAGCAGCATGACTCACGATACCAAAAGATGGAGGCAACGCAAGTGTCCAGCAACAGATGAATGAATAAACAAAATATGATACATGCATATGATGGGGTATTACTCAGCCTTAAAAATGGTGGAAATTCTAACATATGCTATGACATGGCATAACATGATATGTTTGAGAACATTACACTAAGTGAAATAAGCCAGTCACAAAAGACAAATAGTATATGATTCCATTTATGTTATGTACATTGAGTAGTCAAATTTAAAGACAGAAAATAGAATGGCAGGTGCAAGAGACTGGAGAGAGGGAGAAATAGGCAGTTGTTTAATGAGTATAAAGTTTCAGTTTTGCACGACGAAAGGTTCTGGTTGCTCAACATGTGAATATATTTAACACTATTAAACTGTACACTTAAAAATGGTTCAGATGGCAGATTTTATATTATGTATATTTTACTACTTGAAAAAAAAAGAAGATACAGGTGAAGAAAGATCTGAGCTTTACCTGTAAGTCATGGAGGAGTCATGTCTTGGTGTGTGAATCAATTTCATTTCTGACCCTGGGGTCCAAATTTGTAAAGAAATTCAAGAATTTATAAGATCTTTCTGCCTCTCCTCCTGCCTTAGGTGTTTCACTTACAGAGGCTGAGCCTCTAGGCTATGGTGCTACCAGACCTAGTAGAAATCCTCCTAGGATCTAGAGATAGGGTGATTTGTAGTTATGCATGTTTATTTTATATTTAGATGGATATTTTCCTATGAAGTTGAGATAGGCTCTATCTGTGACTCTGATGCAATTGCCTTTTAAATTGTGTTTCTATTAATTAAAAAATAGAAAATTGGAATCCACAATGGGCCTAAATTCAGAAGTGAAATGTGGGATGCCTGGGTGGCTCAGCGATTGAGCATCTGCCTTTGGCTCAGGGCATGATCCCAGGGTCCTGGGATCGAGTCCCGCATCAGGCTCCCTGCAGGGAGCCTGCTTCTCCCTCTACCTATGTCTCTGCCTCTCTCTTTCTGTCTCTCATGAATAAATTTGAAAGAAAAAATGTTGGAAAAGAAAAAAAGAAATATAATTGCCTAGCTCCTGTGCTCTGTGCTAGATAAAACCTTCTCTAACTGCTTTGTGAAAGGTGGGTTCTCTTAGCAAGAATATTAGATATAGCGAGAAAATTAAATTGATTTGAGAACTTGACAACTCAAATTTATACTTAGACAATTATAATAAAAATTAATATTTCAATTTATTTAAAAAAATTATTTATTTATTCATGAGAGACACATAGAGAGAGAGAGGCAGAGACACAGGCAGAAGGAAAAGCAGGTTCCATGCAGGGAACCCGATGTGGGACTCGATCCCAGGACTCCAGGACCACGCCCTGGGCCGAAGGGCAGGTGCTCAACCACTGAGCCACCCAGGGATCCCCTAACGTTTCAATTTAAATGATGAAAGTAAAGTATTTATGAGGATCGTTTAAGTTTGCTAACCTCATCTTTGTGAAATGCCTTTATTAAAGATTTATTTCTTGGTTTTTAAAATCACTAACTCTATTAGTTTGTAGGGGCTGCCATAATAAAGTACCACAGACCAGATGGTTTAAACAACAGAAATTTATTTTCTCACAGTTCTAGAGGCTGAGAGTCTAGGATCAAGAAATCAGCAGGGTTGGTTTCTTCTGAGCCTTTCGCTTTGGCTTGGAGATGCCCATCTTCTCCTTGGGTCTTCACATGGTCTTCTCTCTGCTTGTGTCTTTGTTTTGATTTCTTGTTGTTGTTGTTATTGTTGTTTAAATCTTTTAGATTTCATTCTTTTATTTTATTTTATTTTATTTTATTTATTTTATTTTTTTAATAATAAGTTTTTTATTGGTGTTCAATTTACCAACATACAGAATAACACCCAGTGCTCATCCCGTCAAGTGCCCCCCTAAGTGCCCGTCACCAATTCACCCCCACCCCCCGCCCTCCTCCCCTTTCTTCACCCCTAGTTCGTTTCCCAGAGATGCAGATGCAATGAAACGCCGGGACACCTGCACCCTGATGTTTCTAGCAGCAATGTCCACAATAGCCAAACTGTGGAAGGAGCCTCGGTGTCCATCGAAAGATTTCTTCTTCTTGTGAGGAGACCGGTCACATTGGATTAGAGCCCAATGACCTAATGACCTTGTTGTAACTCAGTTAACTCTCCTCCAAATGCATTCACTTTCTGAGGTGCAAGAGTTAGTCCCTCAACATATGAATTGAGGTAGACACAATTCAGCTCATAACACTGAATGTAGTTTTAATCTTCCTATTTTTTTTCAGAAATTAAATCCCTTCTATTGCTTATAAGTCAATTAGCTCAATCTTCAGTTTTTTTTGTCTCCTAAGGAGTATAATCTGGCTAGAGTCCTTTAGATATTTGAATATTGTATGCTTGGGTAAGTATTTCTTAGGCATATTTTCTGTTCTAAAGGAAAATGGAACCAGTGACTATGATCTGAACATTTATTCTCCAGGCTATCATTAAAAATTCATGTGTTTATGTGTATAATTGTTAGCACAACTTTCTTCTCCTGTGTCAGAAAGCATGCTTTACCACTATCAGCCCCCACCTTCCATGGTATAGTGACTTAGAGTTTTAAGATTTCATTTATTTGAGAGAGTGAATGAGAGAGAGAGAGAGAGAGAGAGAGAGAGAGAGAGAATGAGCAGGGGGAGGGGCACTGGGGGAGGGGGAGGCAGACTTCCCTGCTGAGCAGGGAGCCTGACGCAGGGCTCTATGCCAGGACTCTGGGATCCTGACCTGAGCCAAAGGCAGATGCTTAATGACTGAGCCATTCAGGCGCCCTGTGACTTACGGTTTATAAAGTGCTCTAACATACACCACTTCATTTCATTGTATGAAGAGTAGACAGAGTCAATGTGGATGACTCTTCCCATTTTACACATGATAGAACCAAGAGGTGCCAGTTGATTCTGGATGCCATTCAGCACATCCTCATTCTCAAGCCTGGCTGTGTGTGAGACACTGCCCTCATTGCTTGGAAAAAGCTGTAATTAAGATAAAGTTCTTGATCTCATGGGATTTAAATCCTAGTGGGGAAGACAAACAAATAAACAAATACATATATATCATAATTTCAGGTAGTGATGAGTGCTATAAATGACAGTAAAGTAAGTAAATGGGTAAGAGTGGCTAGCACAGTGGTTGTGGCTGTTTTTGCTAGGATGTTCTCTGTGGTGTGAGTGAAAAAGGAAAAGGTTTACAGAGCGAGGCAGAAGAAAGATCTACAAGGGCATCATGGGCATGATGAAGACCTTGGCTTTTACTCTGTTTGGTTGAGAAGCCATTGGGGGCCTTTGAGAAGTGGGTGGTCCTTTGATTCTCTAAAAGCTTCCCTCACTTTCCTGTACTCCATCGCCTGAGATATTTGAAAAGAATATAGAAAATATTTACATAATTCCTTTTTGATTTGTATTTCCTTTTTATATTTCTTTTGTTTTTAAGGGAATGCAGAATATCTTCTTAAAGATATTTGATCATTTTCTAATGGTGATACACCTAGAAACATTGAACCCCAAGAAATATAGCACAGATGGTCCTTCATGTCTCATTTGCAACATTTATTGCAAATGAAGCAGATGTGCTGTTCCCTTTGTAACACTGAGACTTTGGGGGATTTTTGTACCAATGAGGAAGGGCAGAGGACGGCTGGATACTTCTTTCTTTGTCTACTTGTTTTCTTTTCTTGGTCCCTCCTCCTCCTCTGCCTGTTCCTCAGACAACTGGATTCTTTTTTTTTTTTTTTTGACACTGAATACGTTTTTATTGGAGACAAGTGGATTCTTCAGGCTTCTCCACTTACTCCCACTATCTTATTCTGTGTGGCATCATCCACTCCTGTGGCTTCAATGACCACTTCTATACCAACCTGCATTTTTAACCCAGACCTCTATAGCTCTAGATTCATAGTTCTTACTGCTTACTTTACTCTAGAGTCCCTTAAACACAAACACTTAAAATTGACAAATTCTAGTCACTTCCAAGTTATATTTAATTTCTTCCTCTCCATCACTTTGCACATCCAGTTGATCACGGAGAATCAGCAATCCTGCAACTTATCTCTCACTTTCATCTCCATTACTGGAAGCTTTCATATTTTTCCATCTCAATGTTTGTAGTAGCCTTTCCTCCTCCTAATTCTTCTCCTGTGCTAAACCACCCTCTGCACCAGTCTCGAATTATCTTTCTA